GTTTCCTTATTTTTCAACGTATCGACCTGCGGTTTGATTCCTATGACTGGGCTTTATCTGCCCTGCTATCCCACACACTAACCGAGCATGCAGTTCAAGCATTTCCCTGTCAAAACATGCTAAAACTAGGCAAAATGTAACTTCCGTGCTGTCCATTGTCCATAAAGTCCGTGTTCCAGGGCGAAAATCTCCTGAACTATTTGTCGGAGAGCAAATCCGCGAACAGCCTTTTGTTCCGTTGGCAATCTTTTATGACACCCTTGGATAGCAATTTATTCCAGTGATTCACACCTCCTGCTTTATTGGATGAAAAAATGTCCACCGTGTACTGGTTTTCAAACATCGTCAACTTTAGTTTCGCGCCTCACCGCCGAACCTGTAGCGAGAAACGTTTGGCTCAGCGTCCAGAATGAGCAGCGTGGTTTCCTCTTTCCGGCGCGGTAGGTGGATTTTCGCTGGAGGGCTCAATTCCGGCTGGCTGGACCATCAAAGTGCAAAATCCGGCATGTGTCAGGTTTGTGTGTAACATTCCGTGTCATCAATAGCAAGCTAGCTACACGGCCTATCGATTTCGGTCCACCTGGCCATTTTGCGCTTTCACGTCTCTTAAACTTTAGGCGAGACACCTGTTCGATTTGGTGAACGGGTTGGTCCGTTTTCACGGTTTGTTTGATGATGTAACTTCCGTGCCATGCACATTTTCGGTAACTTCCGTGCCATTCCCCCATGTAAAGTATGGGGGAAAAATCAAAGTGCGAGAAAATCCTGGCCTCCTTCGGAAATGCGTTTAGAGTGACCCCTAGAATACAGGAAAAATACTAAAAAAAATTTAGAACGAGATATTTTTTTCATTTTTTTAGGAGCCAAAAGGACCCACAATTTTGGCAACTTCCCCTATCAAAAGTATTCTAGCTTCCTCTGGCCTGCTGCTAACATCGGCGACCCGTGGCGCTACCTCACGGACATTATGCGAACTACCGATATGGCGGGAGATTTTGAACTTGGAACATATCAAACAAGGTTTGGGAAGTGAATTTTGATCCGTATGACTTAAATTTCAACGAAGATGCTTCCCATGATTAAATATTGTGGCCGAAAGTTGATCCCAGGCACATGATTGACTACTTTTTGGTGTTCCCAAGAGCTCGGGTTGGGGTGGTCCGACTAAAGCTTTCTCGACATCTTTTATTTTAGACCTAATGTTTTTTCTTGAATTATTGATTGACTACTTTTGTGTTTTGTGATCACTGATCATGTTAACCTAATGTTTCATTAGAACTTCAATGTTACTTCTTCTTGAACAATTGAGTGAAAACTTATTTATGCAGCCCCTTTTTTCTTTGACTTTTTGTACGCAAATGAAGTGAAAAATTAATGTTCCTCACCTTTGTTTAAAATTTGTATTAATTAAATCTTAATATATACTAACCAATCGTTCACTTGCTCGTTCTTATCACAGTTTATAAAGAAATCGACACTACAGCCATAATTCTCTCTTAACTGTGATAATAAGGGCAAGCAAGTGAACAAATTGTTAGTATATACTAAGATTTAATTAATACAAATTTTAAACAAAGGTGAGGAACATTAATTTTTCACTTCATTTGCGTACAAAAAGTCAAAGAAAAAAGGAGCTGCATAAATAAGTTTTCACTCAATTGTTCAAGAAGAAGTAACATTGAAGTTCTAATGAAACATTAGGTTAACATGATCAGTGATCACAAAACACAAAAGTAGTCAATCAATAATTCAAGAAAAAACATTAGGTCTAAAATAAAAGATGTTGAGAAAGCTTTAGTCGGACCACCCCAACCCGAGCTCTTGGGAACACCAAAAAGCAGTCAATCATGTGCCTGGGATCAACTTTAGGCCACAATATTTAATCATGGGAAGCATCTTCATTGAAATTTAGGTCATACGGATCAAAATTCACTTCCCAAACCTTGTTTGATATGTTCCAAGTTCAAAATCTCCCGCTATATCAGTAGTTCGCATTATGTCCGTGCCGCAGCGCTGTATGTTGTCCCCTGAATGTAGGCAATTTCAAGGAGCCGAGGAACCAAGAATAGGGGAAAGACACGGAACGTTACAGAAAAAAGCGGGATACGGAACGTTACATTTTCATTCAAACAGGCCTAGTAACTCTCTTGCTGTGAATTAAAACACGCCATTTGGTGTGAGCACCTGTTTTAAGATTCCTCAACACGTCCCGAAAGAATCATATCTCTGTTTGGTCTAGAACTTGCCCGGGGAACAGAAAAGCATTTTAAAATCATGGTCGGACACTACCGAAACATAACCTATAAAACAAGATTCTGAGCTTTCTATGAACTTCTCAGAGTTCCCGTTTGCACCATTCGACGGCAAAAATGCTACAGATTAATCTGATGACAAAGCCGAGAACTATCAGTGGAGTGCAACGCGAGAAACCGTGATAATTCACATGTAACGTTCCGGAAAGTCAACCACGGAGGACATTTTGCGTTTACAGATTGCACCCAAATCGAGCTCGTAAAAACGAGTTCAGTAACATGTGTCTGATAGATAAAATAATAAAGTTTCCGAATATCTTCTCAGAATGGTTCTACGTTCAATATTAGCTGAAATATAAGCATGGAAACTTTGAATTTGTGGACGGGGGACATGCCGGAACGTTACAAAATGACCCTTTGGAGCACTTTATCGACATCTTCTGAATTGAAAAAGTGTTGACTTAAGATGGATAAGAGTGGGCGACGTCGAGACCAACACAACGCACCGAACCGCATCTCAATACGTTGAAAAATAACGATTATAGAGCCAAAAGACACGAAAGATACCCTTATTTTGGCAACTGCTAAAAAAAGTACGGAAGTTCCGTAATTGGCAAGTACGGACGGCCCAGGCAAAATATTGAGCAGACATGTTCCGTGCTTTTTCTGTACTATTTTCTCACAGTGTGCCAATTGGCATGTGTACACGAAAAAAAGAATTAGTTGTTCCAACCGATGTTTCGGTTGGTTTTGGCCCAACTATGATTTTTATTCCAGTAACAAGAATTTGCGTTCGAAGAGCGAAAAATTTGTTAGGACAGCGGAAAGTTTGTTGCAGCAGTGAATTCGTTGGTTGGCACAACCGAATTAAGAGTCGGCTACTGCAACGATCCAATTTTCTGCTGCAACGATGGTTTCGTTGAGGCAACAAACTTTTCTGCTCTTCTAACGAAATTTTCGTTACTGTTGCGGAACATCTTAGTTGGGCCAAAACCAACCGAAGCATCGGTTGGGCCAACTAAAATTTGGTTGGACCGACTAAGTATTTTTTTTTTCGTGTGAGGTTACAAATGGCGGACGTGAAAACGTACGCACTAGGCTACTTTGCCCAAGGATCTACCTCAGCCAGAGGCGTCTCCCAATGGACCAGTATTAGACAGGTCCTAATTGTAAAACACGATCGAGTTTTAACCGTGTGCGGGATGTCACTGTGCTTTACCTGATATTGACAAATACATGTTTATCACGTTGCAGTCACGTGCTGACATGGCCGTTCGATCTAACAACCAATGGAAAGAAAACGCCTTCATCTTCAACTTCCCAAGACAGGGATGCAGTGTGATTCGTGATCACGTTCCTGACTTTTTCCGCATCATGGCGAAGCTCAGTGGGGCCTCGACGGTCAAGGGGACTCCCTGTCTCATTCCAGCGGTGCATGTGTGCTGTATTTTTAGCAGATGATAGAGTAAGGGAGGGTGGGGCACCATGACCACTGGGGCACCATGACCACCCCCCTCGCTCTCGGGAACTACTTTGCCGACGGCAACCGGTCGACCGGACTTTCGAGAGAATAGAATTCTAACTATTTTCAGCCAGAGCCCTACCTTCTAGCTTCAAGGGTACGACCATAGTACTTCGCCAAAATTTTTGTTACAGCGTTTTGGCTAAATTGGGCGTTTTTCAAATCTTAGATATTTTTTCTCACTCTCACATTTGAGGAGATAAGTTCGATGTCTTAGGTTTTTCTCAAAATGTCGGCTCTCCGGCAAAATATCCAACATCACATTTAATTCTAAGTAGCTTTTTGCTTGCTCGGGGAGCCTTAGAGTCGTAAACTGCATTGTGGGGAGCCATGACCACTTTTTAGTGGGGCACCATGACCATACATATTTGAGTGTTTTTTCTCATATTTTGGCCTGATGATGATTTATTTTCGTCGAAAATTTGCTTTTTGCTTCTGAAATTGGATAAAGGTTGAATAATTGCTGCAGAGTAGGTAGTTTTATCACAAATCGTGAATCACCAGGATGATTAAGAATGGTTCTGAAACTGAGACTTGAAATGGTAGTTTCTCTTGCACTAAATGAGCTCCAAACCGCAAAAGTTGGCCGCGAAGGCGATGCGTGGCTACTTTGCACCAAGATGGCTCTGGCATTATGAGAAACAGCATTTAATTCACTTGTTTGCAGTGT